TGACATCCCACCCCTAAGAGATGCATTTGAATTACTGTACCTTTGCATATCTACTGTCTGAAGAGAGAAAAACAGGGATAAACCTTAAAACAAGACTTAAATGCAAAGACCATCTGTTCGAGCTAACTTTCATTTGCTGAATTTCTCCATGTCTATATTACAGTTGATAGAACTGCTTGTTCTCAATGTACAATATATTTAATTTTCATTAAGAAGTGCCTACACAGATAGCCAGCAGAAAGCATGCCTCTTTCTCTTGTCATAGCTTTGCACCATAAGTCAAATGAAGTTCACTTGATAAGGATCCAGATTGCAAGGTGCAGAGTGATGTGATAAATAGCCAATGAAATACCAAGAATATAAAGTGATACTTAAGGAAAAACAGACTTTGCTTTACATCATAGAGAGTTATGGCTCCAAAATAGCTATTCCTTGTTTAAACAAAAGATTTTACAGTTAAAGTAAAATAAATAACTGAAAAGTTTGTTCTTTGGCATTCGGTTATATGATGTTTTAATTTTATAGGTATATTAGTATCTGTACAACTTTGGGCAATGTTTCAGCTCTTCGGACTTTCAGAGTACTGAGGACTTTAAAAGCTATTTCAGTAATACCAGGTAAGGAGAAACATGCCCTGATTTTTTCTCAGGTTCACAGTATAGTCTCTCCAATAATTTTCTCTGTTCTTACTTTCAAGTGTCTTGTCACTTTTTGTGTCTGTAGCAGGATCCCAAATTCTGACCTTTTTTTTTTTTTTTTTTTTTTTTTGTGGTCTGTAGTTACAGACTGTAGTTACAGCAGCATCCTAGCAGAATTTCTTTTTACCATCCTACAAAATTATTTTAATGCAAGCACATCTTGGTATTTAATGTAACATATCCATCTAATGTTGTGTATTTAAGGATGGGACTGCTGTAATTTCAGAATTACAAAAATGCGTTGATTTGTTAGCTTCTCCTTCCAATTGCCTGGATGAAGAGAACTAAATATATAAAAAAATGAATCAAAAACATAATGAATATAGGTATTGAATCACAAGCATCTCATAAAAGCTTTGTATAATAAAGTTTTACCATTGGCTGTAATAAATGATAAAGGGGTTTTTGTTCTCTATAGGTAGTCTTATTATCAATGTACAAAATGTAAAAGCATCTGTTAGAATAATTCTGGATATCAATATCTATGACATATGTCAAATTCAGTTACGATATTTGAGTATCTTCTAAGACTGACTGCTCTGAGTTTGGCAGAAGGTATCCTTCCTTGTAATGTCTGCTCAGCAAGATGTGAAGTACATGTTTTGTCATCAGAAAAGTTTGTCATCTTAAAAGTTTGCTTAGCTATCATCTTAAATTAGAATTTTTGAGTAAGCAAGATCGGTTTTAGAAGGAAATAAAAGTCAAATCACTTATGATTAAGAAATTCAAGTAGAATTACTTTATTCATAGACTCCATATTACCTTGTGTAATATTAGGAGGTTGCCAAACTATTTCTGTTGATTATTTTTAATGTGCTTGCAACTGTGATGCATTCTTGTATGGGGTACTATGATGTGTGGGAATACTCTGATTCCGCATATTATTTTTCTAGGTCTGAAGGTCATCGTAAATTCACTTGTTGAATCTGTTAAGAAACTCACAGATGTGTTGATCTTCACTGTTTTTTGCTTGAGTATATTTGCGCTAATAGGCCTCCAGCTTTTTATGGGCAATTTAAAATACAAATGCGTCCTCAATAATTCGGTATATAATGACACACTCTGTCTGGATGCTAAGATATATGTCCCAAGTAATGAAGGTAAATATTATTTTCGCCTTTTACATAAATCGTGTAGTTTTCTGCATATGTCTTGATTTTCACAAAAGGATATCGAAATATATTTGCATAAATCTGTTATAGTAAAGTATGTTCTTGCATTTGGTGAAACAATAATGTGGAGTGTGTGACTATGTATGTGTGGCTAGTGATTGTAGGAAGGGTTATAGGTCTATGAGATAGAAGGGACTGAGTTTTCTGTAAGGCAAATTACACTGGGATCCAGATGTTAGTGATCCTGCACGCAGAGTGACTTTTTCCATGACATAAGCTGTATCTTGGAAAGATTTTGGCTGTTTCTAGCAGACATTTCTATTCTTGCCTGAGATCAAATAAGACCTTACATTATGAATTGTGCCATTTATAATGAATTTTCAAAACACATTTTATCAGGGACAGATCTTTTGCTGAGAAAAAAAGCCCTATATCCCTTTGTTGTAAAAATAATCTTTCACAGAGATTTGATGTGTTAGACTGGTTTCTAAAGTGCTATAATATACAGCTTACTAGTTAAATACTTTACTAATTTGAATATGATGTGGACAGTTGCTTTAACCTGGAAAAGTTCAGATTACTTTTGATTTTTATGATCCCCCGATTTGTTTTTGAATAGATATCTGCTACAGAATGAATAAATCTTCTGAAATATTGCTCTGTTCAAATCTTGGGTGAGTAATACATTTTTACTAGTTTGTTTTTCCGTAAAATTTGCTTCTGTTTAATTTTTATGTTGCTGAAGGAATGCTGAAAATTTTTCAGGGGCACCCCCTGTGGTCATTGGTTTTTATTAAAAAAATGATTTTTTTTATTTATAAAAAAATTTTTTATTTAAAAAAATTACTTCAGGGAATGAATGAAATAAAATTATTTGATGTAAACAAATCTGTGCTTCATTGCTAAGCACTGGTAGTTGAATGGTTATGTGGAATGATAGAAGGGTAAAGAGTTGTGGGTTATTAATAAACCTCTTTCCTCTCTGCCAGTTTTTGAAATGTGGACATTTGATCACTCCTTCCACATAGTAAAGTTCTATGCAGTTTCACTTATTTTCTTATCTATATTTGTTTGCGAATACCTCCCATTAGTGGAGAGTTTCTGTGCAGTCAGACGTACCGTGACCCTTGGACCCGTCAGATGGTTTAACATTTCTTCTATGGTTAGGAAAGAGGGCCCTTTTTTTTTACACCTGTTTGAAGATTGGGAACAATCCTGACTTTGGATACACAAGTTTTGATCACTTTGGCTGGGCCTTTCTTTCCTTATTCCGTCTGATGACACAAGATTACTGGGAACGTCTCTACAGACAAGTAGGTACTTTTACTAGCTGCTAGTTTGCCCTTAGACGTGCATTCTACAGCTTTTGCGTCCACTAGAAAAATCTATATCCATTTAAATATTACCAATACCAAGTTTGTTTTAAAAACAATGCAGATATTATGGAAGTTTCAAGTGGTTAAGTTAAAACAACTTTTGCAGGTGACATGTAAGAGTCATGAATTACATGGTAGAACAGATGCTGTGAGCAGTGTAAAGTCCTCGTATTGCTCTCCATGCTCAGTCTCATCTGATCAGTGTTTCAACACGATTGAGTATTTCAATGCAATGTAAGATCACAAAGATGCACGGATGTCATGGCAAATTTTGAGGGTTGGCATCTGTGGTCCCAGAAAACTAAGAATATATTTTTTTTTCATGTTAATGGGCTGTGTAATCTGCTTACATGCTCAGAAAAATTTACGGATTAAAGAGGTTTTACTGAACAATAATTAGCGGTTAAATATTTTAATCTTGTAACTACCAAAGGATATGGCTAAATAGCAGATCCAATTAGTGAACTCATTGCTGCTGCAGGAGCTATGAATCCTTACATGCTCTGTTTTTTGCTTTTTCAGTCCTAACTCCCAAGTTTTTGGCTCAGAACATATGCACTTATACCATTAGAGCATCTTTCAGGATTATTTAGGCAATTCTAGCTCTCTTCAATATTAAGGATCTTTAATAGTTTCTTCCATAGTTACAGATATACAACTAAGGTTGTTTTCTCATAACTTGTACTCTAATGGTTATTTTTTCGATTTGCTGAGACATGCTTCATTTAATTTTAAGAATGATTCTTGTTCGTTCTTCTCAATTGCACATGGCATCACTATGAATGATATGTGATCTGATACAAAAGGAGAAAAATACAGTATGAGCATAGAGAAATTTAAGATCTGAAGTATGTTTATTATTTATAGATCTGTGACTAGATTTATATTCAGATCTTTTATATAACCTAGACCAGCAGTAGTAGATCCTGTAGTTTAAAGAAAACAGTGCAATACCTTGACCTTTTGAATATCACAGGGAGAAAAAAATTGTTAGTTCCAAATTCTATTGTAAACCTTAGGATTTTTCTCTTACAACTTTCACTCTTGCCTCACTCCGTACATCTGGCAAGAACAGCATTTTATTTTTTCTGGCAGTCATCTTTTTATGTTCATTTTATCTCTTCAATCTGATCTTGGCTGTAGTAACTATGGCATATGAAGAGCAAAATAGAGCCACTCTTGCTGAAACAGAGGCTAAAGAAAAATTACTTCAGGATGCCCAGCAAATTCTAGAGAAAGAAAAGGTTTGTAAACTCTTGCATCTAATATACCATATGCTGTCCCCATTGTTCTCCTGTGCCTATGTTGTGTTAATTTTCTTGATTAAACATATGCTTTTTTTACAATGCTTTCTAATATTTCATTTCTGTCTATGTATGTGTGTACACGCATATGTGGAATTAATAGGTAAATATTTCTGAAATACCAATAAACAACATTAGTCAAAGTTAAGTAGTATTAACTTCTGGGGTTTTCAAACCTAAATTTTTTTTTAAGGAAACAACAATGGCTTGCAGGCATTTTTTTTTTTCAGTTATTGACAGACACCCACACTACGTGGGTTGGCACATTCTTGTGTAGCTTGACTTTTGCTATGTACAAGAATTCTTTTCCCTGCATATAATTATCTTTTTGATATTTCTGCATGGTCTCATGATGAAAATGTTGGTGGAGAGGTTTACATCCGTAAGAAAAGTTGATATTTCTCGAGTTCTTCCAGATTTGAGCTTAGGCTTTTCTTTCTTACGTTTTTTCTCTGTTTAGTAATTAAGAGAGTTTTAAAGTCTGATTATTTTTGGATTTAGTTTGAACGCTTAGTCTTCTATTGGCTTGGACTCAAGGTCCTTTCCAAAGTAAGAAAAGGAGGAGTAGAAGGATATACCCTGCTATTCTGAGATTCAGATGCAAAGCACAATTTCTGAAGTGGCAAATGCGAACTTCAATTATAAGAGCTGATAAGTAATCCTTTGTCTTTTGGTATAGTAAATGCATTTTGTACTCTATCTTTTGAAGTAGTTTAATGTTTGAAAAATGAAAATTGTTAATGCAAAGCAATCAAGTAGCATAATAATTAAATTGTATTTGATCCTAGTCCATTCTGTGGTGTTACCCTTGTACTAGCAGGATTTTTGCTGTTTGTTTTACAGATGATGGCTAGTGGAGGAAGTGATGAGACCTTACATGTAAGTTCTGAAATGTCAGTCGCTGACTTGAAAATATTAAAAGAAAAAAGGAATAAGGAAGAAAAGCCTATTTTAGGACAAGGACTAATTTTAAATAATCAAAGGAAAGAAGAGCATATATTTCATTCACAACCTGATCATTGCCAAAAGAAGCTTGTAAGTATTTGAAGTATAATATGTATTCATTTGTCATGCAGTGTGTCTATTTGGTGACCAGAAAAGCCTTTCCTATTTGCAGAATATATATCTCTACCTTCTTTCATGCATTGAACCAGTTAGATTTTGGGATCAGAGAGAGACAGCATTATGTAGATTTGAAAGAAAAGGAAAATTAGAAGTGGGTGTTATTAGCATATTTTTGACTTCTTGTTCTGCACTTAAAAATGTGCTAAAATTTGCCAGTATCTCTGTTGTGCTGCATAAAAAGACGTGGTGCAAGAAACCGTTAAGTGGAACTCACTTCCCTGGAGTGTATTATGCAAAGCTTAAACTACGTTTCTGTCCTTGCTAATGAACTCCTCTATATTCTTAGCGTGAAAATTTCCAGTTCCATTTCCAAATGATTGTTCTGGTTGTAGTTTTGCACAGTGTGAATGTTAGAAGACAGAAGGAGCCATTTATCAATTGCAAGGGCTCTTCAAGACGTCCACCTGTATGTTCACTCCCCCTTGCTATTGTGCATCACAAGTCTTACTTTGCCCTATGACTTTTATATTAAAATGAATTTTTTATTTTAAAAAAAGATAATATAGATCACAATTGAAGCAGCTTAAAAAGTGCTTTGAGGTGGAATTCTACCCTGAGACAAACATATTTTGCATTTTTGAGAGTGGCTGTTTATTTCATGTTATGGAAACTGCTAGCAGTATATGTGACTCTTCAAACTATATACTGTGTATTTTTATCACAAAAAGATTGCAAAGTCAAGGAAAAAGAAGCATATCAGACCCAAAGCCTTGGCAGAGATTCAGCAGTTCCATGATTTCTGTTGAGGTTTCTATTTTAACTGCCAGTTTGTCAGATGACTTCTCATTGACATTTGCTTAATTCAGATCAGGAAACGTGAAAACATGAGCGACACTGACAGTTCAGTGTTGACACATGCTGTTAACCTTACTAAAAGTGCCACCTTTTTTCCTTTTTTTTTTTTTTTAACAAGTTTCTCTCTTCTAAGATACCGAATATTGAAGAAAGAAATGAGAGGACAAGTTGCTCTGTTAACTGGGATACGATTCAAATAGTCTACTAGGGTCTTTTTGATTCTGATTGTGTTTGATGCCTGTATACGCTTAAAAGTATATAGGTTTAAAATAGCTCAGCAAAACAGTAATTATGTTTTAGTAGATAACTATTGTTTGTATCGACTACTATATACTATATATTAAAAACTGATAATTAATAGCTAAATAATACCTGATTTAAACTGATACTCAGTGTATATTTTATGTGTTCCCTTTATCAGTGACTGGAAAGATGGAATTATTTTTTTCCTTTACTTTCCTATTAATAATTTACGTATTTCTTATATAGTGAAATATTTACTGTTGTTAAGTATTTTCATCAGGAAAAATCATCTTGAGGAATACTATTTTTTAGTGAAGTGTCCTTTGCAGCCTTGTGATATGTTTGTATATGTATTTGATATGTTTGTATTGTTTTATGCTCTCTCTTCAAGTTTAGGCTTCATCACAAATCAATATCTGTAAGAAGGTTCTTTTATATTATGTTGTATGTAATTTTTATATTGCCAAACACTTATCCATATTTGCTTGTTTTATTATTTTCTATTGTCTTTCTAACCGAAGAGGCAAATATTACTGTCTTATGAATTGTCAGTGGACTCAATTAATGATCCCTTTCGAAGACAGAGGTTAATGAGTGCAGCCACTCTTATTACAGATAATTTGGGTAAGTCACGCTTTAGTGTTTTTCCTACAATGATTATATAAATTGACCTAAGAGATCAAAATGTTACAGTCATAATTATTTTAATAACCACTGGAGGAAATTGTCGTGAACAAATGTAAATTTCAATAAAACAAGTGTACTGATATCTCACATAACTGACCTGTAACTTGGGTTTTCCAAAGACAAATACTGCCTGACCAGCCTGATTGCTCTGTATGATAAAATGACTAGCTTTGTGAATGAGAGGTGAGCAGAAGCTGTCATTTCTTTTGACTTTAGTAAGCCTTTCAACACTGTCTCCCATAATATTTTATATCCAAGTTAGAATGGTATGGTCTGGGTGGGTGGACAATTTGATGGGGAAAAAGTGGTTTGGCAGTGGAGCTCAGAGGGTCCTGTTAATGGGTCATATTCCACCTGGAGTTCAATAGCAAGTGGAGTGCTGCAAGGATATAGTGTCCATGAAATTTAAAGGTGTCACCAAACTGGGAGGTCTCTAGTCAATGCCCTGAAGGGCAGAGCTGCCACCCAGGGGGATGTAGACAGCCTAGAGTGATGGAGACAGCCTAGAGGGATGGAGCAATAGGAGCTTTATGAAATTCATCTAGAACAATGCAAATTCCTGTATTTGGGAAGGGAGAAGCCCTTGTAACAATACAGGCTAAGGATTGCCTAAATAGGGGAGCAGTTCTGCAGAAATGGCTGTGGGGTCCTTGTGGGCATCAAGCTGAGCATGGCCAGAAATGACTGCAGCAATGGCTAAGGGAGACCTGGACTATCATAGCCAGCAGGTAAAGAATACTATGGCACTTTACTCTCTGTTTGCTAGAATAGAGAGTAATTACAGAGTAATTATGAATTATATCTAGAATAATACATCCATTTTTGGCTCCCTTCTTTCCTTCCAGTATAAGAAACACCTTGGTAAACTAGAAAGAGTTTGCTCAAGTATGGGACAACAAAATATAGGGAACACAGAAAATACTTGTTTTGAAAAACTGAGGCACCATCTTACTTCTTCCATTAGCTTAAGGAATTTTTTCTATAACCTATTTTACTTCACGTGTCCGAGTATCAGAATTAATGGTTAGCAGCAAGCATGAAAGCTTTGTTTTCGCTTGGAATACTTTTAAAGCCAAAGCCATGCCACATCTGTGACTGTGCATTACACAACTCACAGAGAACAATTTATTTCTTTTCTTGCAAATAACTAAATTCTTTCTCCTTAGTGCAGATATTTTGTCATCCCTAAAAGATACGAAGAGGTGGGTGATTTTAGCTCTTTTTTGATGAGATTTCTTGATGATAGAATCAAATAGACTCTGACTTGTTAGTGTAGAATGAACAAGACATTGCTTTATTAATGATATTATTCTGCTCACACATGTGTTGAGTTCTCATAGGTGACTGATTTTTTTTCCCAATCTTTTCTATTATTGATTATCTTCTTGCTATGAGATTCCACATAACTTGTATGTCACTTTGCCCTTTGTCGTTTAGAATTGCAGGAGTCAAAACTGAAATGTCCTTCATTTTCAAAACGTTTCGCTCAAAGGTATCTAATTTGGAATTGCTGCCCATTCTGGCTGGTAGTCAAAGAGAAGGTGAAATTGGTAATGTTGGATCCATTTGTTGATCTTTTAATCATGATTTGCATTATGGTGAATACTTTATTCATGGCTCTGGAGCACCCTGGAATGCCACCAACACTGGCAGATATAATTGGTAAAAGTGACAAGGTAAGTTAGCTCTATCTCAGAGTCACTGTGGAATTATAACCCCGTATTTATAGTACAATAGTCCTAATGGCAGATATACTCATTCAGTGACTTGATACTGTTTTCTTTTTCCTCTTTCCAGGTCTTCACTCTCATTTTTACAGCAGAAATGGTCTTGAAAATCATTGCTCTTGATCCCTACTACTATTTTCAGCAAAAATGGAATATTTTTGATAGTGTAGTTGTTATGATTGGCTTGATAAGCTTTGAAGATAAATGGTCATTTTTCAGGCTGGTAATAATTGTTTTATTCTTTTTAAGAGAATAGCATTTGTTTTGTATATATTTGTAAAAAGTTTTCAATTAAACACTTTCCCTCAAATTATTTTACTGACAAATCTGTTAAATGAGTACTCTGTGTGGGTGTATAAGCCAAAATGAATGTTAAAATAGAATGCATTTTAAAGATATATTGAAGAATACATTTAATATGTTCATCATATTGTATACAGTGTTCTTAGCTTTTCAGAGTCAACACACTTAAAAATTCAGTTGAATTCTGTTTCGGCTTGTATATAATAACAGAGACTTCTAACAGTGCTTTATACCCATGCGAATTGCTCTGGAGAAAGTGGGGTGAAAGCTAATTTGACTTTAAAATTACTTTTTACTCATAAGGGTGCATACCATCTTGCTTTTCACATCCTTACTTGAGGCTTCCGGATGGGAAGGAGAAAAAAAATCCTTTTTCATTTGTGATCTCACTGTGTTTATTTTAGTACAAAACATAGTCACTTGGTAAGCCTCTTCTAAGTACCTAGTAGCCACCTGATTATTATTTTTATTTCATTTGCAAATATGCATGATCATATCTAACTGGGCACGTGAAAGCTTCCTCTGCTAGAGCAGTGACCTCAGTAACATTTACTTTCCTAGTTTAAACCTGGCATTCAGTGCAGGCATAACAAGTGCAGGCATGCCAAAAGTCATATTATCATTGCAATTGATATTGATGTTATTAACTGTGAATTGTAGACTTGTTAACACCCAGTATTTGGGGACAAGTTATGAAGATGTATTCAAATGTGGTCCTTTCAGGAGTAAAGGCAATCTCGTAAATACATGTTTTTTTTCCTATGTGCTGTGCTATATATACAGTTCTCTGCCATTCACATTGTTCTCTTGTGTTTTGTTTACAGATAAGAATCTTCAAATTGGCCAAGTCCTGGCCAGCCTTAAACACTCTGATGAAAATCATTTTAAATTCAGTTGGCGCTCTGGGAAACCTCACTCTGGTTTTGGTTATCACTGTATTTATTTTTGCTGTAGTAGGAAAGCAGGTTTTAGGCAAATGCTACGAGGAAAACTACAGGAAAATAAACACTGACAGCAATTTACGTTGGCATATGAAGGATTTTTTTCACTCATTCATGATTATATTCAGAATTTTATGTGGAGAATGGATTGAAATGATGTGGGAATGTATGCGAGTGGCTGGAAAAGGGCTTTGTCTTCCCATTTTCTTGCTTGTCCTGGTGATAGGCAATCTAGTGGTGAGTCTCAGCTATTTTTCTTTTTTACTGAATGCATCCTGTTACACAGCAATCGTTTTTTCTCCAGGTCAAACATCATTATTTAACGAATACACACACAAATCTTGTTTCTGGGTGTAGTTTATATATTTTTCAGAATTTTCCCTTCTTCTGGTGGCTTTCTTTAGCACATGACAGGTAACCAATAGTTAAAATACTCAAGGCAATTCCTTTTAGCTAGACCATATAAGTGTTTGTTAACCTTGTTAGCCTTTTTTAATTAAATGTTTTATTTCTTTCTTTTCTCTTGCTAGAAACAAACAATCAAACTGCTCAATGCTTGTAGTGGTTACTGACTTGTCAGTATACTGTCAACAGGTTACAGTACCCACTTCTTTTGTCTGCATGATTTATACTACTTATATTGGGCAATATAATGTTTTATTTCTTTCTTTTCTCTTGCTGGAAACAAACAATCAAACTGCTCCATGCTTGTAATAATTACTGACTTGTCAGTATGCTATCAACAGGTTACAGTACCCACTTTTTTTGGTCTGCATGACTTATACTGCTTATGCTGGGCAATATGAGCTGTTTTCTTCTTCTTGTCCATCTTGCATATATTCTTTCTTTCTCAACTTGCCACACTCTTTTGTCATTAAGAGGCATTGTTCCTTTGTGTATCAATGGCTCCTAACATATTAAACCTACTCAGTAGAGAATTTGTTAAAATAATTTCATAAAAGGCACAGATAAGTTCTCAGGAAACTATTTAGTATGTCTCTTTTATTTTTTTCTATCCAAGTGGTTTTTCTTTTTATTTTTTTCTTTTTTTTTTTTTGCCTTCTCAAGAATCTCAGACTTGGACAATTCAAAATTTTGGTGTAATTTTCCTTTCAAGGAGGTACTTTGATAAAATCTTCCATTACTATGAGCGTTCGGTCTCATGCATTACTAATGGAAGAAGGCATTTTTTCCTTTGCTTGGCTTGTTCATTATTGCTAAGTGATTAGCAAACATTTGTTCAGTGGTGCTATTAAAATTTATCTTTCTACACTGTTTTTCAACAGATTTTCTACCTTATAGATATAAGAGCATGCGAGAATATATTTGATATAGCCAAAACCAAACTTACCTCATTTTAATTCTGCCTTTCCTGCCTGAGGAAGCCATACCACACTCTGTTAATATTCCCATGTAACAGAAAATAATTTTATGAAAATAGTTTAAAAAAAGAGTTTGAGGTTTTTAACTGAGGTATTTTTTTGAAATGTTATGTTTCTGTTAGAAGCAGTAGTGTCTCCAACATACTTTTAATTATTTTAAGGTGCTCAACCTATTCATCGCGTTGCTGCTGAGTTCATTCAGTACTGACTCTTCAGCAGTTTTTAAGAGGAAACTGGAAAAAAGACCAAATGTCAGATTGCCATTGCTCAGATTCACAAGGGCCTGCAGTCTCTGAAAAACAGAACTTTGGATCATTGCGGCAAAAAAATGAAACGAAATCTCAAAACAACAACCAAAAAGACTGTTAAAATTTCTGTCAAAGACACAGAGGAAAATAACTATGCCATGGCGGATATCAGAAAAGATGTAGAAACCTATTGCTTTGACATTGAGTTTTACAGTAATGAAGAGAGTTTCTCAGTGGCAAGGAAATATGAAGAATTTTTGATGAGCCGTAGTACCTCTGTTCCCATTGCAGTAGCAGAGACTTACAGTGATGAGGGTGATAATGAACAGAATGCATGCACAGCAGTGGAATACAGGAGCAAGGTAAGAAATATTAATGTCTTCAAATCTCTGTGATATTTTGGATTCCTTCTTTGATCGTTTTAATCTCTTTATTTTGTTGCTTTGGGCAGGATTAATCTCAGGCCTTAAGTGCTTAAATATAGATACCTAAAACCAGATTTCTGAATGTAAGGCATTTAATTTGATAGTCAATGATAGTCAATAAAGCCATGATAGTCAAAAAAGATGCAGTTCATATGCCTGAACATTTGAGGCACTTCGGGACATTTGAGAAGATTCAGGTGTCTGTCACGTTGTCATGGGACTGCCAAATATGACACAGGAGCTAGAGCAGCTCTTTTTAGTATCTGGAAGACAGAGGTATGTACAGTTCAGATGGCACTAGATATCAGCTGCAATTAGTAGATTAATCAGTTTATGCATCTTAACCTCAGAATGAATCCCATCCCTTGTGCTTGAGGCAGCAACCCACACATAAATGCCAAGTGTCACTAAGATGCCCAAGAGTACCCAATATTACTTACAACTGCAGCTCCAAAAGGCACCAGTCTTCTGTAGGACCTGTCATATATTTAACAATGCCTGTATATGTCCTGGATACACTTAGGTATCCCAAAAGACACCAAGTATTTAAGGGTGAGCGACTGAATCAAAACCTTTGTACTCTCGCTGCATTCAATGCCACGTTTCTGCACTACTCACTACTCGTATGTCTCCGGCTCTTGTACTTCATGTTTTCTCCCTTCTTGCTATCTTGATTATTTTTCCTTGTCCTTGTTTCTTTTATCACCTCTGTTGCTGTGGAATATTTTTAATAAAATGTAATTTTACCTATTACTTGGAGAAAGCTGGTGTCTTGATGAAATTCTCTTTATGACAGCATCATTACTTTTATTATAATGTAGATGATGTGATTGTCTAGGCAGGATCTGATTTTTGGTTTTAGGTTTTTGACAGGATCTGATTTTGGTGCATACCCACCAATGATATGTCTGCTTGAAGACACTGGAGTTCAGAATCATTTGACCATTCTCTGAGATGCTTGTTTCCATATAAATTTTCTTACTTATC